TCCCATGTACATATGTGTATAAATTCAACACACACACATACACAACTTTCTGTTATTTGAATAGCCCTTTTCCAAGTAGTCTAAAGTGTACATTTTATTTTAATTGTAATACATAAGTTTCTACATAATTAGGTGTGGGCTCTTTTAGTTTAACTGTAAAATAACATTTATACCCCATTTTCCTGTGAAATTTCCATCACATTTGTTATCAATAATTTATAAACTAGTGGGTTTTCCAAGAGTTAATTTATACAGACATATTACTTTTTTGAGGTGGATTCTCCTTTAGATCATAAAATGCCAGCATATTTTATACCAGGTGTTATAAAATACACCAGAACAAGAGGCTCATTATCCCCAGATTGTATGAGTCTATAATTTGTTTTCAACATTTATAAATTGAATGTATAAAGAACTAGGAGAATTTCTTTCTCAAATTGGAAAAAAAAAATAGATTTTGACATCCCTCCAAAAATAAAGACCAATTGTCAGCTTCATTAATAGAATATTTTGTCTAAATACACACACACACCTACACGCACAACTTCAAGAAAGCTAAAATTGAATGGATTAAATACACAGCTGATTAGATTATAAATTTTAGGCTAGCTGATGTTAAATGTTGCTACATCATTATTATACCCTGCCAATGTAAGCCACCATACTGCCAGAAACTAGGTCCAGTTATAGTGCCACAAAACTTGCTGTTCTTGCCAAGGCTCAGCTGTTTTTCTTGAATAAATGCTCCTTGGATTCAGTGCGCCTTTGCAAATTTTCATATTTATTAAAAGTTGATGCTATTTTTGCTATTTTTCTGTTGCTTTCATACAGAAGCAAATTGTTGTCAAGTCCACTCCTCTTTCTTTTCTGATGCCACTCCAGAAATGGAGTTTTAAGGTTTCCTGTAATTCCTTAGCTCTCCCCAGCATGATTAGAGACTCTAGTCACTCTATGTCAGCTGCCCACGTTCTATGTGTGGTATGTACACATCTTTAATAATGTGTTCAAATGATTATGATTAGTCAAATATAAATATTTCTATAGGAATAGCTACCCGAGTTAATATGTTTTTTAAATAAGCATAATGTTATTAATTTAAACTAATATAAACAATTTGATTACATTATTTTATATACTGCCTGATATAAAGATCATTATATTAATATTTTAATGATGAATTAATACTTTGTTATGTTACTCCCTGGTAATTATAGGAGAAACTTATTGAAAATGATATTTTTGTGGGAGGAATGAGATCTATTTCAGGATGAAGAAATTTCAGTTAAAAATAAGTAAAAATTTAATCAATTATGTAATCAATTGTAAAAATTCATTTCAGTTAAAAATTAGTAAAAGTTTAATCAATCAAATGTAATCAATTATGACCTAATGGGCTAGGTAAGTACAGCAATGTGACTTAGGCCTAGTTCTGGGCCTGTATGCCTTGACCGCTAATGCAATGAGGGAATTAACACAGCATCACTTGATATTCATTCAATTATCGCTGTTTTGTTCATCAGCTAGACCACTGTCCTGCCTTTCATCTTTTCAACAGAAAATTATCAAGGCAAGTTGAATTCAACGTGTTTACCGTAAAAATGAACCAAATCAGACCGGGCACGGTTGCTCACACCTGTAATCCGAGCACTTTGGGAGGTCAAGGTGAGAGGATCACTTAAGGTCGGGAGTTTGAGACTAGCCTGGCCAACATGGTAAAACCGTGTCTCTACTAAAAATGCAAAAAGTAGCCAGGCATGGTGGCACATGCCTGTAATCCAAGCTGCTCAGGAGGGAGGTAGGAGAATCGGGAGGTGGAGGTTGCAGTGAGCCAAGATCAGGCCACTGTGCTCCAACCTGGGTGACAGAAGAATACTCTCTCTCAAAAGAAAAAAAAAATAATAATAATAATAATAAATAATAATAATAATAATCAAACAGGTGAATGTGTCCCAGATGTATGGAGAAAATGGAATACTTACTCTTCACGAAAAGTGAAGTTGGAGATACACTGGTGTGATTTCAAGTGGGGACCATAACTAGGATTATGTAGTTGGTTAACTAATTTTAAGTGTAGGTGGTTTTTTCTCTCTCTCATTTTTGAACTCCTGTTTCATTTTTTTGCAACCACAAATTTTATCACCATGTCCTGTCCTTGTCTTACAATTTTGGTTTCTTTATTTTAAAAAATTATGATTAAAAATATTTGGATAGTTCCTTAATCGCTAAATTATGCATTTTTATAAAGGTTTATTCCTCACATGGTTTATAATGACTCAGCCCTGTTCTTCATATAGAGTGTTTTTCTTGAAAATCTCATGCATTCTGGAGTGTGGCAGAGTTCCTGTGGAGCTAATCTTAGCGCTGGTCTCTGCTGGACTGCAGTGGAGTTCTCTCTATGTTTTGCTTTTATTTTCATTTCTCTGGTCGGGGTAGTGGTACCACACAAGCAGTACAAGTTGAAAATCAAATCTCAGGGAGCAGAGAAGATCTGATTCACTGTAGCTTGGATAACTTTTAATATTTGTTTTGATACCTACAACATCAGGAATATGAAGGAGTTTTTTAACATATATCTCATCAGAAATGGGGTTACATGTGTTTTTAAATTTCAATTCCTTAAAGTGGTGCAGATTTTACTAAGTAGGAAATGTACTCTAGTCTCTTAATGCATTGTTATCATACTGTGCGGTGAGTTTTCCTAATTTTGCAGGAATACAAATGTTGAACTATAAACTCATCCTATTTTTAAAAATTCTTCTTATATAGGATGGAAACTAGCAGGAAAAAACTCTATTAACACTTGTTTTCGGGTTTCTTAAATACCAGGATGCATTTGTTAGGATTTTCAAAATTCTGAGCTGCTAAGACAATTGAAATAAAATCTAAAATAGTTTTGAATTATGTAATTTCAGATTTAAAATAATTATATAATGAAAAACATTAACATGCTAGCAAATAAAATGATGAATACTAATGCATCTCTATGCTTATATATGAGCATGTGTCAGAATATTATGAACCTAGTGTTAGAATATTAAACAGTTTTTATTATTTTTTCTATGTAAGATTGATTCAAATTCTCATTTATTTTGCTTAGTATTATTCTAAACTTGGATATAAGCACAGGTGGCAAGGAGTGCTCCCAATCAGCAAGCTGACTGTGAGAAGTGTTAGCTGTAGTTGTCATCATGATTACAGAACAACTTTGGAACTACAGAGCAATGACCGCTTGCAGTAACATATTACACCTATATTAATATTTTCCATGATGAGGTTATAATGGGAGGTTGATGACACAGGTCTAAAGTCATTCTTAAATTAAAAAATTAACATTTTTTATTTTGGACAACTCACAAAACAATAGATTCCCATTTTAATAGATCTGACAGGCCTTGTCTACTGATAGGCATTATAATCTTTTCCCATGGCTGATGCTTCCTTGCATTTGAGTAATTTCTTATTAATGACATTTTCCCTCTACTGGAACCCTATAAAAGCATTAAACTGCTACAATCCCAGCACTTTGGGAGGCCGAGGCGGGTAGATCACTACGTCAAGAGATTGAGACCATCCTGGTCAACATGGTGAAACCCCGTCTCTACTAAAAATACAAAAAAATATTAGCTGGGCATTGTGGCGTGTGCCTGTAGTCCCAGCTACTCAGGAGGCTGAGGTGGAAGAATTGCTTGAACCCAGGAGGCAGAGGTTGTGGTGAGCCGAGATCGCGCCATTGCACTCCAGCCTGGGTAACAAGAGTGAAACCCCCAAAAAAAAAAAAAAAAAAAAAGCATTAAACTGTAGCTCTCAAGATGACACCTATCTTGGACTACACCTGTCTATAGTTCCTAAGGTGACACCCATGCTGGAATCACCAGGGACAGCATGAGAGCAACAAAGGGAGCTTCCCAGATGTCATCAGAGAGCAAGTAAGCAGAGGCTACTGGTGACAGCTCTGGCTTCCACACTGTAGGTAAGGGCCTTAAAAACAACTACAGGCTGCTGCAGAATGTGGCAAGACAAGTACACCACTCCAACTTCTGCATTTATCCAAAATATCAACTTGGCTCAGCACCAAGGGCCTTAAGGTAGGAGGGAGGGGATCCCTGGAGCTGAAAAGAACTAGTTCAGATCGTTGTAGACACAATGAACTCTCCAAAGCTGTTCTCACGTGTGTTCTAGTTACACATGGCTTTACAGGTTGGTCTGGTCTAACAGCATCATCAATGATACAAATTCTACAAAACATAAATTCTGTATTCCAACGAATAAGTGTAAACATTTAGAAATGTTAATGATACTAATAGCATAGACTGATAACTTTACATGTGCTATTATTTAATCCTCAAAATAAATTTACAGGATAGTCGCCCTTATACAAATGTTATGGATAAGGGAACTGGGGTTTAGATAAGAAAAGGATCTTACATTTTATAAGTAGAAGAGCATTTAAACACTTTTATCATTAAAATTAATTTGTGATTTATGAATCATTTATAAATAGCTTAGATATTTAGATTTGATCAATGGTTTCAAATCAAAGTTGATATCAAGTGTAAGAAATTTATAGAGATGAATAATCAAAATTATTTTTGTTCTATGTATTAACTAAGACTCATTTGAAATACTGTCTGCAAATTGTGAAAAATCCATTAGAATTTTGAGATAAATCAAAAGTAGGCTTCCCAAAAGGTAAGATATACTAAAACTATCTTATATAAATAAGACTGTAAGTTCTTCAACAATGTATTCAAATCCATATAATTATTTTGTATAAACAGTATTTTTTGACTTACATACAAATTTTTAAAACTACTTTTTAATATAAGTAGAAAAAATATATTACATAATGTGAAAGAAATATCTGAAATGTATGTTTCTCACTGAAGATAGTAAATGACAGTATCAGCTATTTCTGTCTATAAATCAGATAGCATTATTTCTATAATAAATAAAATTAAAGAAATATATTATTCAGTTTTCCATGTATGTTTTGATCTTACCTGTTGATTTACAGGAAAGTTTCTGTTGATTTTTTTAATCTGCAATGATAAATAAATAATAAAAGTGAGAAGAACAAGAATATGGTAACACAAGGTCTCAGAATTTTATGCAGATGATTTTTAGTTAGCTAATATATTAATATCTTCTTTTGATATCCTGAAATCATCGCATATAAAACAACATATAACAACAGGTATTTTTCTTTTTAAAATTGACTATCAAATTATTCTACATTTCATATGAAAACATTTTGGAAAAGATTTTACTTTAAAAATTTTTTAACTACAAGAAACCAAAAGACTGTGCTCAATACAATCAAACAATACTGAATGATTATCTATCAAGAATGTAGACAGTAACTTTCTGTGGTTTATTTTTTGTACTTTGAAATTATTTTATATTATATTTGTTTTGGCACTCAAGAGAACAGGGAAGTACAATATCCAAATGCTAAAGGATAAAGTATGTGTGTTGAACATTTTCAGTCAAGAATCCAGATAAAGTATAACATTTACTTTAAGAAAATTTAATCAATGACATTTTATAAGAATTTAAAGTAGATCTTCAGAGAAACCATTTCCTCTGTGATATGCCATGGAAACAAACTTTAAATATCAAATAAAAATGAACATTAGGTTTGGATAAAAAAGCATTGCACAAAGTCTTTCTTCAACAGTGCTTTTACTAGTTAAAACAATGATCTTCTAAGGGCTTTATAAAGGAACTTAAACATGCTAACTCTGTATACACTCTGGTGTATACATTTACACCAGAATTAAGGCAGACTATTTTCACCCATAAATTGTCATCGACTTATTTTATTTTGTCTATTTTTCGTTCCCTTTTGTCCTACTGACTGCTGCGAAATAACAGGTCATTTAACAGAAAAAATACACAAAGATGGAAAATCAGCAAAGGTCGCACCTACAAGAACAGGTTTACTAGCAAGGTGTTTGTCACTTAAAATGTAAAAATAGGATGTGGAGAAATAGGAATGCTTTTACACTGTTGATGGAAGTGTAAATTAGTTCAATCATTGTGGAAGACAGTGTGGCAATTCCTCAAGGATCTAGAAATAGAAATACAATTTGACCCAGCAATCCCATTCCTGGGTATATACCCAAAGGATTATAAATCATTCTATTATAAAGATACACCCACATGTACATTTATTGCAGCACTGCTCACTACAGTAAAGACTTGGAACCAACGCAAATGCCCATCAAAGATAGACTAACTAAAGAAAATGTGGCACATATACACCATGGAATATTATGCAGCCATAAAAAAGGATGAGTTCATGTCCTTTGTAGGGACATGGATGAAGCAGAAAACCATCATTCTCAGCAAACTGACACAAGAACAGAAAACCAAACACCACATGTTCTCATTCATAAGTGAGTGTTGAACAATGAGAACACATGGACACAGGGAATGGATCATTACGCGCTGTGGCCTGTCAGGGGATGGGGGCTAGGGGAGAGTGAGCATTAAGAGAAATACCTAATGTAGATGATGGGGTGATAGATGCAGCAAACCACCATGGAATGTGTATATCTATGTAACAAATCTGCATGTTCTGCACATGAACCCCAGAACTTAAAGTATAATAAATAAATTTTTTTAAATGTAAAAATAAAAGAAACTTTGAAAACATATGTGAGATCTGAGTAAGGTTAGGTACAGAAACCAAGTACTTCTAACATTATTATAATCATTTCAATATACCTTTTGGCTCTGCTGAAGAATCTGCCAAAGAATCTCTGAACTTACTCACATGCCTTCAGCTAAAATCAGCATAGCCTGGAAATGCAGATGGAAAAAGCTGATCTCTAAACATCTTTTATTAATCAGTTTAAAAAATCTACACTGAGTACTTTGTCAAACTCTACTTTTTGCTAGTTCATATGAATTGTAATAAATAATTCTGAAATTTACCTAATATTGTACGTAAAACCTTGGCTTCAATAATGTGCTATGTAGCTTTGTAAACTTCCATATTTTTTAATCAGAAAAAATGTCCGAAACATCTTTCTAGGAAACTTGAAGATCAACTAATTAGATAAGCACTTCATGATAAAAGTAGTGGTTGATGCAAACACAAGAAGTCTCATCCTGCTACCCCGCCCTTGGGAATATGAGAAATGAGTTGTTTTCTCCCACAGTGATCTGCTTTCTCTCCCCACTAGAGTGTTTACTAGACCATCAGAATTATTTACCCGTGAAGAGTTGTTGTATTATCAATTTTTGTTTTTGTTAGTTTCCCTTAGTACCATACCTGACTCACCTTGGAAAAGATTAGTAACTAATAGATGAATGCTACTCTGTCTATCCTTTGAATAGTTTACTGTATCACATTATTACTATTAAAATAACAAAATCTATTACCACTAACACTGCTCAAAAATAAGGCAAGAAAGTAGGAGCAATTTAGAATATAGAATATATTATAATATATTTTACATTGGAATATCTGTATCAAAAAATAGAATACAAAAAAGTAAAGGAATTGTATATTAATGGCTAGAGGGTATAATAAGACAGTGAGATATACCAACAGCTAGAACAATATGTAAAAAATAATAATAATATGTAAAAATTATGTTTGGAAAATATTGAAATGGTCTTTAGAAAATTATGTGTAGATTGTTTTTGTCATGTGGCAAATACAATCATATAAAAATAACATAGAACAAGGCATTAAGTCAATTAGTGAAGAAGTAATATTCTTTGAAGTGAAATATTAATAAATTGTGTTCCGCTTATAAATTGATGTCATCATAACCTTTCAAATACTGCTTCCATATAACTTCATAATACTTTATACTCGAATGATTTATGTTATCCGAGGATTATGTAAAAATATTCAAAAGGAATGAGTCAATGCTTAAATACTGCAAAGTATAGTATTAATAGATTTATTTGGCAAGAAAGGAACTTGTATAAGCTGATTTCTACTGAAATTTGTAGCTTTTTAATTGTGTATTAGGGTAAGATAATCTATTCATGTTTATTCATGTCTTAATGGAAATAGAAACTTAACTAAACTACTGACTGCACAGGAATGGAAGGCAGAGAATCAAAATGAGTCATATAATGTCCAGCACAGAAAACTCCACCAGATACCCTAGTTGTGGCAGCAAGAAAAGGACATACATTGTATTCAGGGATTTTTTCCTGATGTTGTAGATACAAAATAATTCCTTGTTAAGATTTAAAATATGCTAACATTTTAAAATAAAACAGTAACTGAGGAAAGAGAGGAAATAATGAGAAATGTGATGGTTGGGTCGCCGGCAAGATGGCCGAATAGGAGCAGCTGTAGTCTGCAGTTGCCAGCAAGATCAATGCAGGTGGTTGATTTCTGCATATCCAATTGAGGTACCCAGCTCATCTCACTGGGACTGGTTAGACAGTGAGTGCTGCTGATGGTGGGTGAGCTGGAGCAGGGTGGAGCATCACCTCACCTGGGAAGTGCAAGGGGTCAGGGAACGCCCTCCCCTAGCCAAGGGAAGCTGTAAGGGACATTGCCATGAAAAACAATGCACTCCGGCCCAGATACTATGCTTTTTCTATGACCCTCACAACCTGCAGACCGGTGCCTACACCATTTTCTCTGGTGCCTACACCACAAGGGCCCTGTGTTTCAAGCAAAAAACTGGGCAGCCATTTGGGCAGACACTGAGCTAGCTGCACGAGTTTTGTTGTTGTTGTTGTTGTTGTTTGTTTTTTTTCATGCCCCAGTAGCACTTGGAATGCCAGTAAGACAGAACTGTACACTCTCCCCTGGAAAGGGGGCTGAAGTCAAAGAGCCAAGTGGTCTAGCTCAGCAGATCCCACCCCATGGAGCCCAGCAAGCTAAGATCTACCAGCTTGAAATTCTCACTGCCAGCACAGCATTCCGAAATCGACCTGGGACACTAGAGCTTGGTGAGGGGAGGAGCATTTGCCATTACTGAGGCTTCAGTAGGCAGTTTTCCCCTCAATGAAAACAAAGATACCAGGAAGTTAGGTCTGGGTGGAGGCCACTGCAGCTCAGCAAAGCCACTGTGGCCAGACTGCCTCTCATGATTCCTTCTTTCTGGGAAGGCCATCTCTTAAAGAAAGGCAGCAGCCCCAATTAGGGGCTTAGAGATAAAACTTGCACCACCCTGTGACAGAGTACCTGGGGGAAGGGGCATCTGTGGGGACAGCTTCAGCAGACTTAAATGTTCCTGCCTGCTGGCTCTGAAGAGAGCAGCAGATCTCCCAGCACAGTGCTCAAGTTCTGCAAAAGGACAGACTGACTTTTCTAGTGTGTCCCTGACCCCAGTTCCTCCTAATTGGGAGACACCTCTCAGCAGGGGTTGACAGACACTTGATGCAGGAGAGCTCTGACTGGCAACTGGCTGGTGCCCCTCTGAGACGAAACCTCCAGAGGAACAAACAGGCAGCAATCTTTGCTGTTCTGCAGTCTCTGCTGGTGATACCCAGGCAAAGAGTGTCTGGAGTGGACCTCCAGCAACTCCAGCAGGTCTGGAGCAGAGGAGCCTGTTAGAAGGAAAACTAACAAACCGAAAGAAATAGCATCAACATCAACAAAAAGGATGTCCAAACAGAAACCTCATTTGAAGGTCACCAACATCAAAGACCAATGGTAGATAAATCCACAAAGATTGGTCTACCAGAATAATAGATATAACCAGAAGAAAAGGCTGAAAATTCCAAAAACTAGAATGCATCTCCTCCAATGGTTCTCAACTCCTCACCAGCAATGGAACAAAACTGGACAGAGAATGAGTGTGACAAATTGACAGAAGTAGGCTTCAGAAGGTGAGCAATAACAGGCTCCTCCAAGCTAAAGGAGCATGTTCTAACCCAATGTGAGGAAGTTAAGTACCGTGAAAAAAGGTTAAAGGAATAGCTACTAGAATAACTAGTTCAGAGAAGAATGTGAATGACCTGATGGAATGTAAAATCACAGCATGAGGACTGCATAAAGCATACACAAGTATCAATAGCCAAATTGATCAGGCAGAAGAAAGGATATCAGAGATTG